TCCCGTCCCAAATTTCTCCCCATCCTTCCGAAGTTCTCCCCCTCCCCAATCCCCCTCCCTCCACGTAAGGTCAAACGCTTTAATTTGAATTACCAATAACACCGAGTTAGCACGGCGCGAGGTTACGACGGTGGGATAACGCTGCCGATTGGTTGGTCGTTAAATTCTTACATGTTTACGTGTTTGTTTAGGCTTACAGGCCGATCGAGGCCTTTGAAAGCTATGCGGAGGTTTGCTGCTGACAAAATGTTTATTGAAGCAATTAATTTCCCTTACATGTATGTATAAACATTAGTGAAAGGGTCGTATACAAAAGTAAGTCTGTTGACCAGAGCTCACATGGCATAACGTCAAACTACAACACAAAATGTACAACCTTGTACAAGTACACTGCACCGTGCAGAAAGTGGGTATGAAACCGATTTATTTTGTAATAATGGATTCTCATAAAATACATGTGCTGATAAAAAAAATAAAAAAAATATGGATGTCAGCACCGTATAAAAATATAGCTAAAAAGTATCCCATCCTGCAGTTATTACGTGTGTATTCTTTAATATGCATAAACCATTAAATGTAGTTTTTTTCATGTTATAAGCTAATGAAATGCATATGTAATACAGTGTATACGCTACTGTAAGTATATATGTTATAACATGTATACACCATTACATGCGTATGCTATTGTAAGTATATATGTTATAACATGTATACACCATCACATGTTTATGCTATTGTAAGTATATATGTTATAACAGGTATACACCATTACATGTTTATGCTATTGTAAGTATATGTGTTATAACATGTATACACCAGTATTGCATGTTTATTCTATTGTAAGTATATATGTTATAACATGTATACACCATTACATGTTTATTCTATTGTAAGTATATGTGTTATAACATGTATAAACCATTATTGCATGTTTATGCCATTGTAAGTACATATGTTATAACATTTATACCCCATTGCATGTTTATTCTATTGTAAGTATATACGTTATAACATGTATACACCATTGCATGTTTATTACACCATTACATGTTTATGCTATTGTAAGTATATATGTTATAACATGTATACATCATTACATGTTTATGCTATTGTAAGTACATATGTTATAACATGTATACACCATTACATGTTTATGCTATTGTAAGTATATATGTTATAACATGTATACACCATTGCATGTTTATTACACCATTACATGTTTATTCTATTGTAAGTATATATGTTATAACATGTACACACCATTACATGTTTATGCTATTGTAAGTATATATGTTATAACATGTACACACCATTACATGTTTATGCTATTGTAAGTATATATGTTATAACATGTATACATCATTACATGTTTATGCTATTGTAAGTACATATGTTATAACATGTATACCCCATTATTGCATGTTTATGCTATTGTAAGTATATATGTTATAACATGTATACACCATTGCATGTTTATTACACCATTACATGTTTATTCTATTGTAAGTATATATGTTATAACATGTACACACCAGTATTGCATGTTTATGCTATTGTAAGTACATATGTTATAACATGTATACACCAGTATTGCATGTTTATGCTATAGTAAGTATATATGTTATAACATGTATACACCCATTACATGTTTATGCTATTGTAAATATATATGTTATAACATGTATACACCAGTATTGCATGTTTATGCTATTGTAAGTACATATGTTATAACATGTATACCCCATTATTGCATGTTTATGCTATTGTAAGTATATATGTAAGTATGTATGTTATAACATGTATACACCATTACATGTTTATTCTATTGTAAGTATATATGTTATAACATGTATACATCATTACATGTTTATGCTATTGTAAGTACATATGTTATAACATGTATACCCCATTATTGCATGTTTATGCTATTGTAAGTATATATGTAAGTATGTATGTTATAACATGTATACACCATTACATGTTTACGCTATTGTAAGTATATATGTTATAACATGTATACACTCATTGCATGTTTATGCTATTGTAAGTATATATGTTATAACATGTATACACCAGTATTGCATGTTTATGCTATTGTAAGTATATATGTAAGTATGTATGTTATAACATGTATACACCATTACATGTTTACGCTATTGTAAGTATATATGTTATAACATGTATACACTCATTGCATGTTTATGCTATTGTAAGTATATATGTTATAACATGTATACACTCATTGCATGTTTATGCTATTGTAAGTATATATGTTATAACATGTATACACCAGTATTGCATGTTTATGCTATTGTAAGTATATATGTTATAACATGTATACACC